CATCCAAAGGGACAGGGCAATGCTTACATAGAAAAGCAGGACTCAAACCAAAAGAAAACAGAAATGCCTCTGAGCAAATAAATACCTTAGGCTGCATACTGGAAATGCTTCCCAGTGAGAGCAGTTTGGATGCCAAGAGATGTACTAGACATATATAGGCGTACAGAGAAAATCTCATTAGCTTGCCCCACATCATGGCAAACTGTTATGGTTTATAACTAGATGTCCCCACTGCCTCCTGAGCTCATAGGTGGGCTTTTGAAAGGTGATTGGATTCTGGGGACATTACAAGTCATGTGGTATCAGGAAGTGGGAGGTCACGGCGGGACCATGGCCCAGAAGGGTTTTCTCCTTTGCAGCTCCTCCCTCCCCCTCTGCCTGTTACCGCCATGAAGTGAGCACCTCCCTCCCGACTCCCCCTCCTGGTCCCACTTCCAGGTCTTCCTGCACTGGAGCCAGGTGCCCATGGCCTGAGACATGAACTGAAGAAAACCTGTCCTCCTGAAGTTGCGGGTCATAGGTATTCTGCCCCAGTGACAGAGAAAGTAGCTAAGACACAACCAGCCAATCAGACTCTTAGTGCTTAAAAGAAAAGCCACTGGCTTCGCACTATCATCTACAATCTTGAGTTCTGTAAGTTAGAGGAATGACATGGACAGATGACTCAGAGAAAAACAAAGAAATGAGAATTCTTAAGAAAGAAGAGACATACTATAAAGGCAATCACCGTCATTACTGAAGTAATAGGGTAACAGAAATGTGGATTTTATTATGAGCAATAGAAAGGGGGTGGGAATATAAAACAAATGAATTCCAGAATGCATCAGTGACATGCTTGCAAATGAATTAGATTTTTTTTTTGGTCAACAGAACTGTTCCACCCCTTACTCTGTTATGGTCTTTGTATTATTTTTAAAATTTAAAGAGAATAGGAAAATAATAGAGAAGACATTAGAAGTGACACACAGTTAAAAAAACAAGAAGATACATATTCAACAGTGGTTGCTGTATTGCACATTGCTGTCTTCAATGCAGTTGCTCAGATTACAGATATCAGCATATGAAATTGGCGAAAGTAAACATTATAAGCATTAATTGCTACCTTCAAAAAACTAATAGAAATGAAAAGACGACTAATTTCTATCAGTCTTTTCATTTTTGACTGATTATACTACTAAATTGTTACTGAGTATAATGATTGTGTTACCAAACTAATAGCATAATATGTGTGCATGGATTCTGCTATTGATTATTGCACAGAAGGATGCATTTTATGTCATATGCCATTTTCTTAAATTGAGGAAATGGGACCTCATTTTTCTTTAAACATGATAGCTAGCTTTGCTCTATGGGTGTGCAGTTCTGGGCTGGTACTTTACTGTAGAGTTAGAGAGAAAAGTTTCCAATTTTAGAATGACAAAGCAGAACAGCAGTAAGATAATCCGTCCATAGATAGTTCCTGCCCTATACTAAGAGGTGGATAAATGTCATCATTTTGGTAAGTTTTAAGAACATCTGCTCTGGCTTTTCTCTTTCTTATGTAGTAACTGCACCAACCATGGTCACTGGCAGATGACAAGAGACAGTCGGGTCATTATAAAGCCCAGACAGAAGCCTGGTGACCCAAGTCCTGCATCCTGCGCGTGAGAAGACGCAGTGTGAGTAGCTGTCCAGCGACGTGAGGCCACATGGCGCAGCTGCCGTGCAGCCCAGCGCGAAAGTTGACTGACAGAGAGGCCAGTTTTAAATTCATAACTGAAAAAAGAAATCATGCCTCAGCCTTTTGGTTCAGATCAGGGGTAAAAATGTTAAGTTTAATGATTTTGTCTACAAATAAAACAATTTGCTTCACTGTTCCCTTGAGCCATTGCTATTTTCGCTAACATATGTACCTTAAAAACAGCTGCGTCATTCGAGCGGGCAGGTCTTACTTTCTGATCAGTGTACTTGTTTTCTTCGATTGCTGGGCGCTTAGGGTGGTCGCACGAGGAGGAGGAGGCCGAAGGGAGGATTCGGAAGAGGCAGCAGGTGTCCTGTTGCTGGCGGTCAATGAACTGCTTCATAAAGCTCTCCCTTTGCAGGTGAAGGATACAGACATCAAGCATTGTTAGTGATGTGCGCCTGAGCCAGGGGTGGCATTTCACAGACACGTGCTTGCCTGCGCTAAGAAGCTGAGACAAAGCAGGGACAAAAGATTAGAGGAAGCAAGACGCGCCACCAAAAAAAAAAAAAAAAAAATGGCCCTTATATTCCATTTCCAAAAATACATAATTTACAGAAAGCTTCCAAAATCTTGATTGACTCCAGTTTAACAAAATTAATGTCTCCAGAATAACTTGAAACACGGATGTTTTAGTAACCGATGGCATTTCTGGATCCTATTATGGTAATAAAACGTTTTATCTTGCCCTTTAGACTTGAAGGAATTATCATTTCTTTCTAAACTTTCATTCATCATGAAAATGCTTGAGAGACAATTTTACATTTAGAGACAGAAAAATGTGATCTCCAAAACACAGTGAAAATTTACACAACAGCTTTGCAAAACTAACTTCACTAAATTTTATTTGCTTAAGAAACACAAATACAATCATGTGTCCCGTGTTCTTCCAGTGCCGTGCTGGTTGAGGAAGATTAGTGTAGCGACTAGTGACGTCATAGCCACGTGAAATTGCACGGCGCACTTTGCCATGCCGACAGGGTGATGCGACAGCCTGCCGACACCGTCCTCTCAACACCTCCTCATCAGGCTATACACGTCTTGCCTTTTTCTGTTTGAATTAAAAATTTTATGGACCATATCGAGTCTCATACTTTTGTAGCCAAACTCACCTGGATGTTCTCAAGCTTATGAAGTAAATAATTTAAAATAATCTGGATTCTAGTTCTGATTTTTCTGAGCTATCACTGGAGAATTTCTTTTCATTACTAAAAAGGAATAGAATATTATTATTCCAGGGCTGGTGAGATAGCTCAGTGGACTAAGCGCCTGCTTGGGCAAGCACAGTGACCCGGGTATGATCCCTGGCACAAAAGGCCCTGCCCCAGGTGCGCTGAGCGGGCCACCAAGTCTGGGTGTGGTGGCACACCCCTGTAATCCCAGCTCTGGGGAGGCTGAAAACAGGAGGATAGTCAGACCCTGTACCAAATACATAAAAAAAGAACATTATTATTCCATTTGTTTGCTTAACTAGAGTGGTAATGTCAAATCAGTGTGAGTGTAACACACCATGTACTTTAAACAGTGCAAGCCAAATTCTCCTGTGACCAGGTGTGTCAGAGTAATCAAATGCTGCAGTCCAAGAGCTGGCTGCACTGCTTTCTGTTTGCTTGAAATAAAAGGGCCGCGATGACGATTGTATGCCTGCCGGGCTCACGGCCAGAGGGCGACCTCTCGCTGCCTTCCCTCCACACTGAGCACTCTTGTCATTTACTTGCGGGGAAGTTGGGGGAAAGGGGGGCGGGGAGAAGCCCCCCCAGGAGCTGTACACTGCCCACTCGCTGATGGGGGGGGGGATGACAGGTTTTCAAATGGGGTAGAGCGGAAAATATAGGCAACAGCTCAAAAACAGCAGGAAAGAAACCCACCTGCGTGCGTGTTGGAGAGGTTGGGCCCAATTTATTATGACTCGCTCACCGTGTAACTAAGATATACAATGGAAGAAAAATTTCAGTACCTGATTTTAGGGACCGTGAAGTCTGACGGAAGTTTTGAGATTTTCACCATTTGTGGTCTGTTTGGAAATTTTTCAAAGATCCTCAGGCGCAAAGGGAGCTTTTCTTTTGTGTCTGCATTTGCTTCACTTTGCTTTAACTAAATAAGAGCAAACAAACAAACAGAAGAAAAAAGGGAAACCAATGGAGCACTGGTTAGAGCGGTGATAGTAATTACACAGAGGACCAGTAGATGGCAGCAAAGTACCACCAAGCAAGTCTCACCTGCCACGCATTGTGAGAGCGTTCTAGTGTGTTAGAACTGACCCCGGGAAACAAAAGCACAATTTAAAAATCTAAATTGGAATAAAATGAAGAATAAATTTTATATTATTTTATTCTTCATGCTAATAAATCTATTTTCAACTTATGCACATTTTATAATTTTTACTTAAGATCGGTCACATGACTAAACAAAAACTGTTCTGTATTTCCAGATGCTAGAGTTAGAATTTAAAAGAATGACAATAAAAGCGTAAACCACAGAAGCATGCAAATGTAATAACATTTGAAACAACAGAAAATGTCAAGAGAATCTCTCAGGCTGTCTAGCAGATCAAAAGGAATCGCTCTAAACAGAAACATATTTGATCAGCAAAGCAGAAGTTTTTTGTTTGGTTGCGAAGACGCTTAAGAACTGCTAGTTGTTTTTTTTTTTTTTTTTTTCTATTGGGGGAATCGAACTCATGAACTTGCACTTGCCAGGCAGGCACTGAGCAGCGGAACTACTAGTTTTTAAATGCTGTAATATGTGAGTAATAGCAAGTAAACTTATCATATATATGATAAAATCATATATCACATATATATGATTTATCATATATATAGTGTGTGTGTTTGTGTGTGTGTGTGTGTGTGTGTGTGTCTGTGGGGCAGAGACAATGTCACCAATGGAAGACAACGCAGAGCGAAGGAGAAATGATGGAGATTGATTTCGGCTGGCAGAGCGGCTATGCACTCTCCTGTCCTCTTTCTCTCCTCCTTCAGGTCCCTTTACCCCTCTTCACCTCTCTGATCTCTCTACAGAATGTGATTCATCTTCACTTCCTTCCTGTCTTCTTCTCCAGCTTGCAACTGCATCCCACCCAACGACCATGTTCAATTCGGGCAGACCTTCGGCCAGGTTGGATACCTCCGCTCCAAAGCCATCAGCTCATGACCCCCTTGTTGAGTGTGCTTCTGCTTCAAGTGACACTTTGTCTTGGGGTGGTGGGAAAGTTAACATTGGAGGCTGAAAGAACTTTGCTCACAGGACAAGGGAGCAAAGTTTTCCTGCTACTTTTGTGTGAAAATCTAACCCAGACAGAGAGAACGGGACGGCTGAGTTTTGCAGGGACACGGATTCTAACGTGACTGATGTCTCAGCTGTCGTCTGGCTGTGAGCTCCAGAGACCTGAGGCATCTTGATTTCTGCTACCAAGATTGCCCTTTCGTTTTTCTTAGGTGTAGCAGGCACATTCCGCCCTATCCTCTCGCCCATCTTATCGGGTTTGGCGCTGAACCTTTACCCATCTGTCTCAAGGAAAATCTCCCTTAGGGCAGGGGCCAGTGCTGCCTCCTCTAACTGGAGCACTTAAGCATGGAGATGCATGCAGAGGACGTGTCCTTGACGAGAAGGATGGCAAGGAGCCAGCGCCAAAGACACAACACTAACTTGCTAGCTTCTGCACGTGCTGAGGACCTGGAGAAGGGATTCTGTCCTCAGTGAAGACATACAAGAAACAATTTTGTTTTCTAAAAGGTCGGTGATGTGACTGTCAAAAACAAACTGGCAACATTCAGAGAAAAGAAAAGCAGTTAACTTATTAAGACAGACCAGACCACGAGCAATTAGTTCGATCTTGCTAAAGCCAGGGTGATAAGACAGAGTAGAAGTGAAGTATTTCTAATTATTCATTCATCAACTCATCCATTTTCACGTCGATGCTGCCATTCCTAAATCCACAAGCCAGACTCTGCGCTGCCCCCTGGGGATGTAGAGATAGCCGAGCCACTGCGCCTGTTCTCACGACATCCGTGTGTAACCTGGTGGAGTCCTACCTTCAGCGCCAGCAAAACACAACGCTTACCCTGGTGGACTCGTTCAGAGAGTGCTCAGGAACAGCGCGTAGCGAGTGACGGGAGAAATACGGAGGACGGTGCTCTGGGCAGCAGAAGGGCTGCGCGCCACTGCGGACGTGACCACGGGGCTTGACTTGCACCAGGACTGGATCACTGGCGTATTGGGTAGGGCTCATCATTGAAATGAAAACATAGGGTTCTTTCCTAAACGCTCTCAGCCTGCCAAGGCCCTCTGTTCTTAAAAGAAAAAGTTGGAACCCTCTCCCTGAGCCTCCAGGGCCGCTTTGGGCCCTCACTCCCACGTAGCCTCAGCTGGCCCTGCTGCGAAGCTCCTGTCTTTCCCTTTCCAGGGCCTGCGCACCCTCTGCCTGCACCTGGACGGGCCCCGCGCCCCCTGCTGGACCTCCTCCTCTTCCTCCTCTGTCTGGGATTTCCTTCCCTCTACTGACTTTTCAGCTCCCCTCGCAATCCCTTGGAGAAGCTTCCTCCAACCATCTGTCTTCCTCCCAGGACTTCACAGGATGCTACTCGGCCACATACTCACATGGGCAAAGCAATTTCTTGTGGACTAACCTAATGCACCTTGTGTCACTGTCCCAGGACAGCCTGCTCCCCCCTGTTATTCACAGGCCTGGCAATGCAGAGTGGCACAATCTGCCAACCTCTCCCCACTCCAGAGGCTGCAAGTGGAGGCCAAGGGTTCAGTGGGACCGTGTACCCTTCGCAGGCGCCAGACCAGAATCCCCTCTCCTGGCCTCTGGCGAGTCTGGGCAGGCCGGCTGCTCCCTGGCTTGAACCCACTCCTCTGTGCCTCTGGTACCTCATGCCTTCTTCCTCGTGTGTTTCTCTGCCTGTGTATCTGAATCTCTTCAGCCTTTCTCCGCTAAAGATTCAGAACCCACCCTGATTCCAAAGGGTGAGTTTAACTGCTCACATCTGCAAACAGGGTCTCATTCTGAGCCAGGCCTGGACGCGAACGTTTCAGAGGATGTTACTGAACACACTGTGCATGTCATCACTTGAAGTGCTATCAAAGGACCCTGTGAATAGTGCTGCTCTTTTCACAGAGGCTATGCCCCCTGTGAGGACAGGGACCATGCAGGGCTGTTCTCTTCATCCCACGGCCAGCATTTGGCTTAGTAGTTGCCCTAAAGTGAGTTAAGCAAATATTCGTGGAATAAAGAATTGTACTTATCAGGTAGTAGAACTAAACTCTGTAGCAAACAACTGGGAGATGACAGGTGTTTCCAAAGTGTGGAGAGAGAAGTACAAAGGATCAGCTTATTAACTGAGCAGAT